TGTCCATTGTGAAGTCATGTGAATGGTTATTGTGTGAATGACCATGTGAAGAGCCTCCATGTGAGTGATTGTGACCATGAGAACCGCCTCCGTGAGAATGCCCATGTCCGTGACCATGTTGGAAAGCATATATTCCGACAAGGTTTACTAAAAGGCCTAGTACAGATATCACAAATAATCGTTCATGTTTCACCTAAAAATTAAATAATTTGTATCCTCTATAAATGTGCTGAGTTATTATTTACTTCTGGTGGTTCTATGGCCCTTTCTACTGCCTCTGACATTAAGAAAAAGGATATAAAAAGCAAAAACAACCCATTTACAAAACCAGCCAGAATTTCTGCTCTAACATAACCATAGGAATACTTATCGTTTGCTTTCCATTTTGTAATTACTGAAGCAAAAAGTCCAGCAATAAGGCCCGTACAGTCAAAAAACATATGAAATGAATCCGAAATCAAACCTAAAACAAATAGTCATAAGATTAACTGAATATTAATTGAATAAACAATGTTCCTACCTAAGCTGTTACTCCAGACACCGTATATTAGTTCCACAAAAGCGAACGAGAAGTTTAGCATTAAAAACAAAAATAGATTCCTAGAGTTTCGATCAGAGAATATTAATCTAGCATAGCCGTTGACTTTTTCTTTTATCCTGGACCCGAAACCCCTATGATAATTGTCCTTGTGCGACAGAGGTAACATATTGTTTGATGGTGAGTCAAAACGCTGGAGTTTTCCTTAAAACATTGTTAATCTGGACGTGAGCAAATTTTTCTGGGTGTGTTTATTTAGTTTCCTTCGAATAACTTCGAAATATGGGAATACTATACAGAGAATTAATGAAATAATGAAGTATAATTTAAGTACTTTAGTTATAATCCTAGCAGCACTTGCAAAATATCTTAAAATGATTAAAAAAAATATATTTTATTTTGATATCAGCCGAGACCGGCTGCTAGTGAATTTTGCCATGTTGTCAACTTTTGACAGTGATGGATTTTCAGTGTGTACAATAGTTAAATGCAAAAGTTACCAAAAATATTATGCACAGATTAAAAAAGTTTGATAGAATTTACGGTTGGTGAAATTGGTATTTTCAGAGTGTACAATAGTTAACTGCAAAAATTACCAAAAAATTTGTGCATAGATCAAAGAAAGTTTGACAGAATTTACGATTGGTAAATCTGGTTCCGTTTCCTTTCTCTTTCAGAAAAAGTCAATATGGTGAGTACGTCAATGTTTTTCGTAAATTAGTTTTAATTTTATTAAATAAACCCTTTGTCTTTTCAAATTCTAATAAACAATATTCGTTTCTAATTTTGGCGACTTTCTGTCTAGAAGAATTTGTTATCTTAATACCTGTTATTTAATTAAATACAATAAAAGAGGTTAATTCAATCCGCGTGTGATGTTAAAACTCTTACAAGACATATTTCGTGGTTGTAAAAACTGATTTAATGAGTCTGATCGTTTCTTTTATATTGCTTTGTTAATGCTTATTGAAACCCATTAAGTTTGCTGACATGCCTTTCCTTTTTCATCGATTTCAGCCTCCAAAGAAGGATTCAAAGGCTGGGGCCAAACAGCCCCAAAAAACTGTGAAAAAGAAGGAAGGATCCGGAGGAGGAAAGGCCAAGAAGAAGGTAATTCATTCGTTTCACTCAATAATTGAATTTTTAATAAGAAAATGTGAATTTATTTGTAGAAGTGGTCCAAAGGCAAAGTACGTGATAAGTTAAACAACCAGGTATTATTTGACAAGGCCACATATGATAAGTTATACAAGGAAGTACCATCGTATAAACTGATCACTCCCTCAGTTGTTTCTGAACGTTTGAAAGTAAGGGGTCCCTTTGCTAGAAGAGCCCTGATCGAATTACAACAGAAAGGTATTTTGATTCCTTAAAATTAACGAGCTGAGATTTATAGAAGTTGTTTTGATGAATAATTATAATCTTTATTTTCTATGAAAGTAAAAAACTGATTTAATGAGTCTGATTTGTCCTATATCTTACAAATTAACCTAGAAGTTATTGAGTATATTCTAAGTTGTGGTGATATGTTTTTAGGCCTGGATCAAACAAGTTGTCCAACACAGAGCACAGCTTATTTACACCAGGACGACAAAAGGAGCACGAATCCAGTTGCTTAATTTGTAAGAATATATTCTTAAATATATAATTTTAAGAAAAAATGTACTGTTTTTTATTTATAAACAACTCCTAGGAAAAATAAAACTTCAAACCTTACCAAGCTAAATATATTTTATTTATTACAATAGAACTTAAAGCTATAAAAAATAATATAAATCGCGACAAGCATTCCTATTATGAGTTTTTTAAAAATTAATTATGAATTAAATCAATGTAAAATAATTAGTTATTACTCTGTTATAAAGAAACAATGAAGAGACACAGATAAAAAGAGAAGTAGAAGAATACTGTTCCATATAAAGGGTTAATAAAACTTATTGCACAAAATATCAGAGGAATGGTTGTAGTAAAAAAGATAAATCTTATTGGAGTAACAATAAATATAATTTATTAGAAAAAAAAAATATTTAGTACCTATACTTCAATTCTTCAGGCATGTTCTTGAAGATTGCAGTTGATATTAACTAGATTTTCCCTAAAATTAACACAATAAAAAAAATTATCACAGATAATAGAAAGCTCATTATATACAGGGTAGCCCAGTTTTCTGAAAAAGCTTACTTAAAATATACTTACGTTTTGGTAAACGTTGGTATCACCGTTTTTAGTCTGTTCTACTCTTAATTGTTCTTTCAAACGATCTACTTCCTGAAACAAATAAATAGATCAGTAAATAAAAATCGTTTTAATAAATAAAATATGAAAAAACATACTTCTGACAATTTTTCTATAGTCGCTGTAGAATCCGCGTGGATCGTCTTAACTTCATGCTTGTTGCTGATCTGTTGACGTTCTTCTAAAAGTCTCTGGTTTTCTATCCGCTCTTGTTCTAACTGTTTCTCTAAGGAGGTAACTCTATTTTGTAGCTGAAATAAAAAAATTAAACATAAAAAATAGACCAAGAAGCTGTATAATCAACATCTTAATTTACTATTGTTGATTCTATATTATTTTGTATGTTACTTTTTAATATATCCACCATTATTTTATGACATATATTTACAACTAGTGACGAAAACGATAGAGACATCTAGGGGACAATTTCATAATACTACAATATATGAAGTACATAATACCGGGTGCATCTCAAAAGTGGCTACCCTTATAACTTTTATATTTTTTAGTTAAAAAACGAGATTTGGTATGTTTGTATATGACATAAATTAGGATTGATTGACGTATTCAATTGTTTTTGGTCACTTCCAGTTTCACCGGAAATGACTACAACTTTTGATTTTTAAATGGCACCCCGATATTTTTTTACTTTATTCGATAGAGAATGTCACTCTGAATAGAATGACATATCATATATGAACTTTTGACATTTTCGCATATGGTTTATTTGAAATTATAACTTGCGGTTCGTAACGAAAATTTGACTTGATATACCAAGTGTGTGGTATCAAATTATTCGTAAAAAATGCTTTTTCCAAATATGCTAATGAGCCACCCTCGTTCCATTTGAAAAAATTGAGATATGCTTAAAAATACGATTTAAGCATTTTCTAACTGGCCAGGACAAGACACTAAAAACATTAGACGATCAAATCTATTTTTCCAAGGCTCCTTGATGAAGAATTAGTGTTTTTAACATAGCCATGGCACTCTAGATTGAATTTTAAAATACAATTTTTTATTAAGTGAGAATGTCAAAAGTTGACATATGATATGTCATTCTATTCAGAATGTCATTTTCTATCGAATAAAGTAAAAAAATACCGAGGGTGACATTTAAAAATCAAAAGTTGTATTCATTTCCGGTGAACAGGAAGTAACCAAAAACAATTGAATACACCAATCAATCCTAATTTATGTCATATACTAACATGCCAAATCTCGTTTATCTGAAAAAATAAAAAAGTTATAGGGGTGAGCCACTTTTGAGACGCACCCGGTATAGAGATCACAAGGACTTTTATACCTTAATTATACAGAAAATAACTCAGTATACACAAGACAGGGAACATACTACCGGTTAGTCTTTAATCCACAAAAATATGAATATATAAAAAGCAAAATTTAAATAGATCCTCTTTAAAATTAATAGAATTGGCAATATTATATGAAAAAAATAAACATCCATAAGAAATGAGTCATCTATATGGCTACTTTAATTGACATTTGACATCGTTGACATTGACAGGAGGCTTTCGAAAGTCCTACGCTGTTTTCCGAACACTGACACATAAGATGGAATTTCTTTTTATGCTTCTTTTAATAAAATTATGGTTTGACCAGCGAGAGAGTACATAATTTTGACAGGAGACATAAAAAATAACAGAAAAAATATACTTTCGTTACAGTTCTTCAAAAACTACACTTGAACGCAACAAAAGCAAAGTTTACAATTTAGAGACGAGCAAAAAGCTAAAAATATATTTTTTTGACAGTACCTCTTCTATAATTTGCGGAAGAGAACGTTCAATACATGTGTAGGCAAATGTAATGCCGTTTACGTCTGGACTAGATAAACTACGGCTTTCACGTGGCTGCGAATTAAAATTCAGTAAAAAATTGTATTTTTTCTTGTATGGAAATAGAGATTTTACTTTTAAGCCAAAAAATATAACATTCCCTGGTAGATACACGCCCTATAACGTCTATATTTTTATTAAAAAGTCCTGTGACAGTGAAATGATTCCTAGAAAATAAGGCATAACCTAATCACATTATAATCTAATATTTTTTGGCCCAAAATGTAGTTTTAATCTCACAAATAGATAAAGATAGTATAAATGTGATTGATTCCTTATAAAAAGTTTTTTTTCTTACCTGACAGACGTGTCTATGCTTCAACTCTTCCAATTCTGCTTCTTTTTCGGCAAGCTGATTCCTCCACTTCCTTTCTTCTTGTTCTATGTTACATTCTAATTTCTTTAACGCTCCATCCTGTAAAATCACTTAGTTCATCTCAATGTACCTTTGAGTAAAAATATTAAGGAAGGAGTATAATGCTATCCATGGTAGAGTAAACGCCACGAATGTTTGGGAGTGATTCATCGCTTGATGAAGTTAGAATCGACACGCGCGCTATCATTTTTACATTAAAAACGTAAATTTTTACCGCAGACGTAGGTTTTTAAAGGCCCGGTCTAATCATCTGCCTGCGCTCCTCCTACTTATTCGAAAATGTTAGCGTGATTGACAAAGACGATACTATATCGCGTTTCTTTGATTGATTCGTTTTTGTGCGTCAGTCCATTGGTGTGCTTGCAGTGCGACCAATGGGGCATTCCATTTTATATTTATAACCAAATAGGCATTGTTTCTTAAAAGTCAGAACATTTGAAAACATGAAAACAAGACAAGTAATCGTGTAATGTTTTGTAAGCTATAAAAATTTAAATATTGAGTAAATTTGTTTCTAATATTGGACCTGCAAATCTTCACTTGGGCTGTCTAACGAGTTTAATAGCTTATTTGCAAAGTATTTTTCAATATTAAACACCCATTGAAAAGAAGAAGCAAACGTAGAAGCAGAGAATAGGTACATTAAAATGCATAAAATTTTATAACAAGTTGGTTGCAATTTAGAAAACGTCAACGTTTGACATTTCCAGTATTTACCAAACTGTTCCGTATCAAGCCGATGTTTTTTCAGGAACCGCTCTTCACCGGTCTGGTTCGCCTGGTTTTGCAACGGAAAACGGCCCAAGTTAAAATGTTATTTTAACAGAACGTCAACGGTTTCGTAGACGTATTTTAAAAAGTAAAGTGTTCTCGAATATTTGAATTTAAATATTTTAAATAGTTTTTCTTTATTCTTTGTGCTTTTTGTTTCCGACGACGGAAAGAGATAAACTTTCCGAAACCTTAAGCATTTTTTGCTTTGTTAGGC